TGTGAATCGAATCGAATCGTGAAATCAAAATCGTGAATCGAATCGTGAGTTGAGTGAATCGTTACATCCCTACTGTTCCCTATCGAATGGGAACTCGCACTGCGTCCCCTAGAGGACACTTTGGGGAACGAATACCCACACCGCCATGCTGAAGGGATGAGTGCCTTATCGGCAGGCATAAGCCAGAAAAACTATAAGGAGGCCTCATCCCCAGGAACACACCAGCAACTGCCATCACACTGTGAGGGTCAGAATCGAAGTGGGACACCATTCACATAGTCACCCACAATCATCACATACGTCACACAGCCCTAAGTGCAATATGCAGGTTCCCGGCCTCATTGCACAAAATGTTAAAAAGTGGGAACGTGAGAAGTGATACTACCCCTCTTCTTAAAGGTTAGTATTTTGAGGATCACAGCCGAAGTGGGCCGCGAGCCGCGGAATAGCCCACCATTTCCGCATACCTCTCACATCTGTGCGCGCAATACAGAGGGAAACCCCTCCCTGCGCTATCACATGGCAAATTAGAAGAAAGTGGAACGCGAGAAGCGATACTGCTCATCTACTTTAAACCGTCATAATATTGTGAGGATCACAGCTGAGGAAGTGGGACGCGAGCCGCGGAATAGGCCACCATCTGCTCATACCTCTCACATCTGTGCGCGCAATACGGAGGGAAAACCCTCCATGCGCTATCACACGGCAAATTATAAGAAGTGGGAAAGCGAGAAGCGATACTGCCCATCTACTTTAAACCGTCATAACATTGTGAGGATCACAGCCGAGGAAGTGGGACGCGAGCTGCGGAATAGCCCACCCTTCTCGCATATATCTCACAGTCTCAGGCGCAATACAGAGGGGGCATCGCCCTGTCCTATTGCGCAACAGATTAAGAAGTGGGAATGCGAGCTGCACTACTGCCCATCTTCTCAACACATCTCACAGTCATATGTGCAGTACAGAGGGAACCTGCCCTGTCCCCTTTACACAAAATAAGAAGTGTGAAAGCGAGAAGTGATTCTGCCCATCTTTCTAAACCCATAATACAATCGTAACATAGAGAAGATAATAGCTGAAGAAGTGGGACGTGATTCGCGGAATATCCCACCTTCCCCAACACATCTCACAGCTTAATAGTGATACAACGGGGAAGCCGCAGTATTGTATCACCAAGCTGGGAAAACTACGAATTGAAATCAGAGACTGATCCCAAATACATGACAAAAATTGTAGTTAGAAGAAAGAAGTATATTCTATTCCAAGTTGTAAATGACAACATGAAGTTGCAAAATAAAGTCAACATCTCAACTGAGGTAGTAAAGGGGAATCAGAATGAAACGATAGCTAACAGTAAATTAAATCAAAGCCTTGGAGACATAAAAATAAGACATGGGGCCTCAGGGAGTTAGACTTACCTTCCTTTGCTTCGATGACTTCCCTGTGGTCCTGTCTCTGCCTCGAGCGAGGTCGCTGCCCAGCACCCCGGCTCCTCGGAGGCAGGGCTCTCGCAGCTACACTAGCCTTCTGACCCTGCCACCAGCTGGGCCCAGCAGCAAGCTCAGGTTCAGGTGGTTGACCGGAAGAACGCCGCCTACGGCGAGGGATGTAGCGCTCAAACGCCGCTGACTTAACCTTCGAAACTGGGGCATCAAGAAGAAAAGTCCTCTCCTTTTCCTTTAGCCCCGACAGGTTAAGCCATAAATGCTTCTCCGTGACAATTAGTGCCGCAAGAGAGCGGCCGATGGCACAAGCTGCTTGCTTGGTCGCACGGAGGGCAAGATCGGATGAGCGGCGGAGCTCCTCGATTTCAGCAGCCTTCCTCAAAGATGCCTTGGAAGCTGCAAGGTAACCCACAAGGGATTCCTCCATCTGAGGCATCTTCGTGTACCCCGTCTTCCAACCACTTCACATTAGCATGGTTGGACTTGATGGGGGGGGGAGTGGGAAAAATAATTCCTTCATGACCTCAACAACTCGCTGTGAAGCTCAGGGAGGAATGGAAGGCTCGGAGGGGCGGAGCGTTTATGACCTGCTAGGAAACGCTCATCCAGACGGCCACTAGACTCGCATTCCTG